GTCAGTAATCTGAGAAACAGCTGAATCACATTCATGAACTGTGTCTGAATGTTTGACCCAAAATTGGGTTGAAACAACCCAGCATTTTTAGAGTGGTAAAACATTTATAGCCTGAATGCACTGTAAGTCGCTTTGGATAAAAGCGTCTGCTAAATGCATAAATTTACATTTTAAATTTAAATTTAACGTGAAATGTGACGTGGATATTTATTTTTTGAAATTCAGTTAATTATGAAGATTAATTGTCAGTTGCCAGATGAACGCTTGGCGATTTAGGTCAGGTGGGCTACTTACCCAGCAGCACATTGACATTAGTTTGCGCAAAATTCCCATAACTTTGTTGTTATCGTTCGTCAGTAATCTGAGAAACAGCTGAATCACATTCATGAACTGTGTCTGAATGTGCAGGCGGTGTTCATTGTGACATCGTGGAATGTTCAGGTGTTCATGACAGAATGATGGAATGTGAATCCAGCTGTTTCCATGCAAAGAGAACCACACACATATGAGTGAGAACTAACAATGTTGTGAATCTATAGTCACATTTGACTTTTTGTTCATGAGAATACTGCAGATCACTCACATGTAAATTTCCCATCTATGCACCATAATTTGATGGTGTCAGTACTGAATATTACAGCTCAGTTTAACCAATCAGGGTCGTGTGAGGGAGACCTGTGAATCAGTTTGCTGTTTTGTGCTGATGAGACTTGATGATGAGTCAAGAGTAATGTTTTAGCATGATAAAGGGACCAAACTTGAACTTGTAAGCTGCATATTCAAGTGCGTGCTTATAAGTTGTATAAAACAAACGCTGTATCTATCTACAGTAAAAAATGGGAGAGTGACCCAACTCTCAAAATAGGTTACTTGTGGTGGGAAATGACCCGAAAGATCTCTGTAAATAAACTGCTCTGAGCTCAGAGCAGATGAATAACTTAAACAAAATCGAATATGGGACTGCTACTCCTGTCCAGCCTTATGCGCACACTGCTCTGACCAGTCCAGTACATCTTCAACTTTTAAATCATCCAGACTTCATACTGATATCTGATCCCTGACAACTCCTGACAGAGGTTTGAATCAACAATGAATCAGTTTCGACTGTACAAAGTTCTGCATTATGTTCTACAAAGTGTACTTAAAGACATAGTAGTTCTGTTTGAAGTTAAAGCGCAACATGAAGGTACACGCATTTAAACAATACAAAAATAAACTAGTGTACGGTAGGCCTCAGTATTCATTTCGTTGACGAATCATTTTCGGCATGATTTTCATCAACGCCATTTTTTTCACAGACGATAACGAAATAAAAACTCTTTTTGAATGACAAAAACACTGAGAAAAAATCTATTGACATTTTCGTCAACTATTAAAAATGAGACGAAAATGTTAAGAGAGGGACGATTGAACAGAGATCCCGTCAGCACGAATCTCCTGCGTGGAGAGAGATATAAAGCCATAAAAACTGTAAATATACTGATTTACACAATAAAATATCAACATAATAATAATTTTGCCATGGGTTCCTTGCAGAATTTTCTCTGAGGTTTGAGAATAGTGGATTTGAAGCAGCAAGCAGCTCAAGGGCTTTTGGAACAGAGTCAGCGTGTGTTGATGTCTGATATGGTGAATAAATCCATTAATCAATCATGTTTACCTGAGAGAAAGACCAACAGACAGACCGTGAGGAAGATTCCTCCTTCTGGATGACACTGGACTTGTACGGGCAGCTCAATCACTTTCTCAGAGACGCTCATATCAGTACTAAAATGAATGCTAACAAAGAAAGAGAGCATTGATTATAACAAAATTATAGCAAGTGATCATCAAGAACAAACTATAGAATGCAGTACTGTCAAATGATGAAAACATTTAACTGAATCATTTGCATGAATGTATTGAAAATGCATGCAGCCTACATGAAATGCTGGACTCACCTTGCTGGAGTTTAGGCAGAAAATGTCTGACGAACTGTTGTGCAGCGAAACTGGGAAAAATAATTTCTCGTCTCATCTCTCATGAAAAAAAAAAAAAATCCACATTAATAAACAATATTAGATCTGCTAACTGCAGTTTTGAAAATGGTTTGGCTTCATTTGAGCTGCAAGAAATTAGCTCCAGATTCAGTGAACCATCCAGTTATGCCCTTGAAAAAAAAAATGTCAAAGGGGTATAGTTTACATTTTACTCAAACTATAAAATGCACAATGTGTTTGACTAGACAGTGCAATTGCCTGTTACAGTTGATCATTTGTTCATATTTTGAAGGACGGTTATGATTACAAATTTTAATGTTAAGTCTAAATAATCACAGAAACCTGAGTGATTAATTAGTTAAAAAAAAATAATCAAGTCAAATATATGTTATATTAAGCTATTGCCCACCACCACTAACAAAAATGTATACAAAAAGATTTTAAATATCTTCAACTACTTTTTATTATTTTTAAAATCTATTTTCAATGCTTTGTGCGCACTGTTTCCGTTGAATTGTAAAGAATACTATGCAAAACACATCTAAATACGCAAATTGTGTGTGTGTGTGTGACCCTGGAGCACAAAACTAGTCATAAGTCGCTGGGGTATATTTGTAGCAATAGCTAAAAATACATTGTATGGGTCAAAATTATCAATTTTTCTTTTATGCCAAAAATCATTTGGATATTAAGTAAAGATCATGTTCCATGAAGATATTTTGTAAATTTACTACCGTAAATATATCAAAACTTAATTTTTGATTAGTAATATGCATTGCTAAGAACTTCATTTGGACAACTTTAAAGGTGATTTTCTCAATATTTAGATTTTTTTGCACCCTCAGATTCCAGATTTTCAAATAGTTGTATCTCGGCCAAATATTGTTCTATTCCTAACAAACCATACATCAATGGAAAGCTTATTTATTCAGATGATGTATGAATCTCAATTAAAGAAAAAAGACCCTTATGACTGGTTTATATATATATATTTCAGCCTTTTCTTTATCCATTGTAGTCATAGAGTATAAACATCTTATGTAATTAACTCAGCTGCTGTACATAATGCAATATACATAAGTCTATATAAATAGGAACTACCAGTAGTAATAAAAATATGATCAAATCTCTTCCTTACCCAGAGATGTTACGCTCCCTGTAGTAGAACAAAACCACGCAATTCAATATTAAAATAACGGTCAACAGCTTCAAGATCCATTTAATATATGCCATATTCATCTGTAACATTGGCTTTAGTGTAGGGCCGGACAACAGCTGCAGGGCAGGTTTCAGAGAGAGAAAGAGAATGTGGAGGGAATTCTTGTTTCTCGCTTTGTTGGTTTCAGTGGAGCAGAGATGGGAGAGGACTCAACTGAATACGCTTGACCGTAGATAGCACATCCTGAATTTATCTTCTAAAAACTAATACAAATGACACCCCTATGAATCATAAATGCGCCTTCACTTTTTTTGTGATCTGGTGGCAAATCTAGGTGAAAATATATGGAATCTTTACTGTGGAGTTCGTGTCTGCTCGAACTGTCGTTCAGTTATGCTGCTCATCTTGTTTGGGCGGGGGGTTATATTCCAGTTCTAGACGTCTGGGGGCCCTAAGCAAAAACTCATCCAGGCCATCCTATACACCCACAGCAATTTCTGAAACCATGGCCATCACATAAAAAGCTGTAAAGTGTTTTCCTTTTCTTCATTTCCCCCAATATCTCTGTCTCTTGTGTTGTCTTGTCTCTTCTTCACCAGCTGTTCTACTGTTATTTATCTTAAAATGACGTAAATACCCAAGATCTAACAAACCTTTATTTCATGCAAATACATTAAAACAAATTTTCTAAAGTGCCTTTTTTTTTTTAAATGCTCTAAAAAATACAATACATTTATAGAAAAATCCCAATACTGAACACTATTGCATTATTAGACTATGACTCATATTTTTGTGTTGCTGTCTGCTCTAGGGCCTAAACTATAAATCCATGTTTTAATGTAACTTTACAATAGATAATAATGATGTCCTTTAGCATACAGTATTCTGACTTAGGCTATCAGTAGCACCCCATTATTATCATAAGTTTAAAGAGAAAATCGGCCATACCAAAAAAGACTTGTGTTTTTTACAAATCTCTGCAACAAAGTCCAAATCAAGTCACGGTTCAAGTCAGGATTTTTTTTTGTTGTTGTTGTTTTTTTGCCTTAAGTGCGTCTTGAAAAGCCACATACCTGTAATTACATTGGTCTGTTTTCATATAAACCTATTGTATGTATTAGGAAGACAAATATAGCGCATGAGTCCTGTGGACTGTAATATTTTATAGTACCAGAAGTGAATCATATAGGAAAGATATGACTTAATCACTGTTGCCACCTACTGGTGTAATGATGAACCCAAGAGAATGAGTCACTGAATGAATCTTTTTAGTGAATTGATTCAGTGAAGATTTCAATGAATCAAAATCCTTAAAACCGGAAGCTAACAATAAATAAAATGTTCTACCTGTTAGATAGTGTTTTACACCTGTGCGTTTACACCTACCACAACCCTAAACCTACCCCTTACACAATAATGCAAAAACAGTAATTATTGTTGTACAGCGTTAATGTTTTGGGGTCAGTACGATTTTTTAAAAATTAATTAATTAAAATTAATTTATGAAATTCATATTTTTATAATATATTTTAATCAGCAATGTCATATTAAATGATTTCGAATGTATTTCAATCAGTAACCGCTGCTAACATTTTAACCATGTTTTATATCCTCCAGCAAATCCTATGAAATGTGAGTTAATACCTATGAAACTAATAGGAATAACTGATCTAAAATATTTTTCTATATATAAAAGTATTATATTTGCATGCCTCAAAAACATGTTCATATAAAAATCAGACATGGTTGACAAAACACATTGCCCCGAGTCCAGATGTCATATGATTTAGAAAGGCTTTTGAATGTTTTAGATGCAAAATAATCCTTTGTCAGATTAATAACTAAGAACACAAACAGCATGGTTGTTATGACTTAAATATTTATGAATAATCAGACATATCTGGAAAATAATATTCTGAGAGAAAAACATAAAAGGATGAATAAATTCAACATAAAAAGCAACGTTTTAAAGCAACAAAAGTTCATACAGACATTTTGGTTCATGTAAGAAAAATAAATTAAATTTTAAATTGTTAAATTAACCTATTTAAAATGTGCACAAGTGGTTATTGTACTACACTGTGCAAAAATGCAGGTGTATTTGAGAATGTGTGGCAAAAGATATTCTCAAGCTGTTTAAAAACCACCCTTCAGAACTAGATAGAGATTTTCTAGAGCCACTGAAGGTCCAGTGCAGAGATGTCTCACAGTGCTTTGACAGTGATGTTGGCGACTCCATGCACCTGAGGTAGCTGACGGCAGTCGAGAGACACTAGAAGTTTCTGTGGCCCGGCCTCCAAAGGAATAAACGTCTCTGTCAGTGTCACCGAAGCCAAACTTTCTATATTTCTGAGAAAAAGAACAATAGAGAGAGAGAGAGATCATGTTGCCATGTTTTTGGTGAAATTTCATACACACACAAATATATATATATATATATATATATATATATATATATTTGCACGAATATTATACTGTTATATTGAGTTATTATGGCTGTAAATTGGTTAACAAAATGTGTTACATCATATTAAATGATTTCGAATGTATTTCAATCCACTTCAAATAAATGCTGCTCTTTTGAACTTGCTATTTATCAAAGAATCCTGAAAACAAACAAAAATCACAGTATCATGGTTTTCACAAAAATATGAAGCAGTGCAACTGTTTTCAACATTGATGATAATTGAATAATAATAAAAATTTTAAAAAAAATTATAAATAATAACAACTGTAAACTAATAATAAGAATTATTATTGTTGTTGTTGAATTTTATGATAATTAAATAATAACTGAAATGTTTCTCGAGCAGCTTTACATCACAAGAATAAAGTGCATTTTAAAATATATTCACATAGAACTTTTTTTTTTTAATTTTAATAATATTTTACAGCATTACTGTTTGTATTTTATATTTATCCTATGAATGCATTAAAGACATTAAAACATCTTATGGACCCCAAACTTATGACTCAAAGTGTAATTATATGATGTTTTACCAAGTGTGTATTGAAAGCAATCATAGACCGTAGTGAAGACAACAGCTCACAATTTCATTATTTAAGTTTACAGTGACCGTCTTACCCGTAGGAAACCTCCCTGACACTCTGCAGTCCCAGGCCTTCAAAGCGAAACTTCACATTCTTCAGTGTGAGCTGAAGTGGATTCCGGAAAACAACCGTAGCCTTCATTTCTTTGCCAACTACAGCGTCCCCTTCAGGCTGGGAGGTAAACAAGCACACAGTGAGTGAGATTTTAAAGTTGATCTCATTAAACGAATTCACCCAAAAAGTTACATTAATTTACCACACATACATATGCATACACATGGATCATTTTGAGTTTAAAACAGAGAAGTCTTTTAAACTCACGTTGATGACTAGGTCTGATGTGCGCAGTCTGAACCGAAACTGGGTAGCCAGAACCTGTTTGGTCTCAGTAACGCTTCCAGTGAGTGTGAGCATCAGCATGGCCTGATCCACCAGCTGCTCTTTATAATCATCATAGAGCAGACACCACTCCACAGTCTCAACTACGATGAGTAAGAGAGGAAAATTCATCTCTTAACTGGCAACAGTTAATCCAATATGAATTAAAAGCGACATTATTGCCCGAGTTCTCTCACCTTCATTGGGTTGGAGTTCGACAGGAACCTCGTCTTTCTTCACTGTAGCTTTATACACCCCAGTATAGTACATAACGACCACCTGGCCGTGGAGGGTGAAAGTGCGCAGTTCTGAGCTTGTGTTCTTCATGGTGATGGCCAGTTTAGCATCTGCACCAAGCTGCGGTTCTTCTTCATCCATGGTGATCTGGATGCTGACATCGTTAGCACTGGAGATGTTGTAGATCCCTGCTTTAGAGCCATACTGACAGGCAGTTTCCACAGCAATGCGCTCTTCCTCTGAATCTAATGAGGGGGACCGCAAATATATGGATGAGTGACGTGACACTCGTTTTTGTCCAGATTTATTTATGAAAAAAAACAGAGAAAGACTAAATCCAGAACTGTGGCAACATCTCCGAGACACCTGAAGAAACCTACCTGCAAAGCTACAGTACTGTTAAAAGTTTTTGGCACTTAAAAGTAAAAGTGAGGATACTTTCAACATTTGGTGTGGCCACCCTTTGTGTTTAAAGGTGACATTTTCCAGGTTTTAAGTGCTATAATCAGGTCCCCGGTGCATCTACCAACCAAGGAAACGTGATAAAGATTAACCCAGTGTTTTTGTCCGGAATACATCGTTTTTCAGGTAGCTTTTCAATTAAATTGCAATTTTTTTTTACCTTCTGGATGTTTGTAGAGGTGTGTGATGTCCTCACGTTCATCAGAGCCAACAGCTTTAGTGCTGATGCAGCGACCTATCGCTTTCTTCTTAACTTGGACAGGAGTAAAGGTGCCATCAGCAGTTCGCTGCCAGTACACTTTATCACTGTTCACCTTGAACAAAAAGAGCAAAGCATTTAGGCTACGTCCACACGAAGCCAGAGCTTTCCCTATCCAATCTTTTTTTCCCCTCCTCTCAATAAATATCTGCGTCCACACAAATCCACGAAACCGACACAAAACGATGTAGTATACATGCCAGACCAGCATGTGGCGCTGTAATTCCGCCACAGAGATAAAAATGGAGAAGAAGACTTGGACTATGCGCATAAACCTTGCGCGCGGTATACAAACAAACATGGAACAATACATTTATTAATCTGTGTTAATGTTAGTTAATAAAAAGACAATCGTTCAGTGTTTGTTCATGTTTTTGTTGCTGTTACGTGACGTAGCGGTGTCTGACTAGGGGCGAGACGTGGGCTGATGACGTCATCGCTTCAGAAAATATACGGATTCGCTGTCCACACGAAAACGCAAGGGCGGCGTTTTCAGATTTATCCACTCTGGGACCCGGTTTAAAAAAATATCGCTTTCACTCTCCCAAAACGCCGGATCCGTCTGGACGAAACGCCTATAAGATACACATTTTATGCATATACAGCTAAACGCGTCTCCGTGTGGAAGGGGCCTTAGTACCTATAAGTCTCTTTGGGCCTCATTTAAAAAACTAAGTAAAAAACTAAGTTATATAGGTTTAGGTATACCTCTGCAAATACGAATGGTGTGTCATGCTTGAGGTAAACCTGTCCATTCCGGACAGCAGCAACAGAAGCGGGACCGCAGCGGAAAACACCCTGACTCGTCTCCTGAGGGGTGGCATCTACTACTTGCCACCCCCCCATACCCGCGGGTAGGTCTGGACGAGCCATCCAGCAGTCATTCCACACATGGAAGTTCCTATAGACAGGGACATTTGTATGTTTAATGCCATTTTTAGTGAAGCTAATGCTTTAACAGTTTGAATAGTACAGTATATGCACTTTCACTCACATAGTGTACTCTTCAAAGTTTTAGACAGTTTTGTGAATTAATTTTTAACTAACCAGACAGAATCTTGATTGAGCTCCTCAATCAGCTCGTAGTTCTCATCTAAATACATGTCAGTTGTCAAGGAAACATCTGTGTCATGAGCAGACTCGAAATTTGTAACGCACCGGGTTGGAATCCCTAAACACCTCATCACTGAAAATAGGAAAGAGATTTAAGTGTTATGCTCAAGTCAAATGGATGTGTTTTTACTCATTCTCAAACACATGTTCATACCTGAGGTGGTGACCCCAGAGAAGACCCAACACTGTCCGTATCTAACCGGTGTTCCTCCATTTTCATAGTAATGTCTCAGAATGTCACTGCTACCGCTCCAGAATGTGGGAGCCGTGCCATCATCGTACGTACCCGACCAGTTGCCTACCAACACACCGCTGTCATCAGGAGAGTTAATCTGTCAAACATAGGACAAAAGTTATTCTTCTGCTGCATTCAGATATTTTTAAGTGGTTGCATTTTTGCATAGTTCAGTCATGAAACACTTTTTGAGTTCTTTCAAGCTGACAGCAGTCAATCAATCTCTCTTTTCTATCTATTTCCTGCTGTGTGCCATGAGAATTTTCTTTAGCCCTCCTCCTCCCCAGCACCACATGTCTAGATGTACTACATTAAAAATAAATGTTCCAAAAAGTTTTTTTTAGTGATGCCATAGAAGAACCCCTTTCAGTGAACTGTTCCTAAAAGAGCTTTTCTTAGTGCAAAAAAAGACTCTTTTGTACACTGCAAAGGTTCAACAGATGTTAAAGGTTCTTTATGGAACTATAGATGCTAATAAAGAACCTTTTTGAAAGGTTTACTATGCAGCATGTGTCCTAATCCCTGTAAAGCCAGTCGCACATGCAGGTATCACACAACGGAGGAATTATGTTCAGTTCAAGGCCGTGGTACAAAACCAATCTAATCACCAAACTGGCAAAAGTTCACCTCAAGAATGAACAAAATGGTGTGGAAGTTTGAGTCTGAGGTTTGAAAAACATTGCAAATTGAAAAAGAAAGGTTGATTTAATTCTCTATTGTATACCCTTAGTTGTGACCCCCTTAATTCTGAGTATGTTTCAGCAGGACTGACGACTCCACTCTTATAACAAAATGCTGTTAAATCTATTTCAAGAGTTGTCATGATTGAAATAAAACATGATTCAAATGATCAAACATATCTGCATTTTTTCCTTTTTAGAAGAAATGTGTTTATTAATATTAGCAATTAATAACAATAATGTATTAATAACATGATTGGAACAAGCTAGCAATGTTTATGTTTACATTTATTTCAATCATAGACAACTCATAGTTTTAGCATGTTAATGGATAGGGATAGTTCACCCAAAAATGAAAAATCGTACTCACCCTCATGTCGTTCCAAACCTGTAAGGCCTTCGTTCATCTTCGGAACACAAATTAAGATATTTTTGATGAAATCCAAGAGCCTTCTGACCCTGCAAAGACAGCAACTGAAACGTTTTATGGCCCAGAAAATTAGTAAAGACATTGTTAAAATAGTCCACGTGACGTGGTTCAACAGTAATGTTATGAAGCTACGATAATATTTTTGTGCACAAAGAATTTCTTCTTTTTCTGTGTCAGTCTTTGACGCACATTCACAAGAGTACCACGACGTACATTCTCGTAGCTTCATAACATTATGGTTGAACCACTGATGTCTCATGGACTATTTTAATGATGCCCTTGCTACCTTTTTGGGCCTTGAACATGTCAGTTGCGTTGCTGTCTATGCAGGGTCAGAAAGCTCTCGGATTTCATCAAAATATCTTAACTCGTGTTCCAAAGAGGAACGAAAGCCTTACATGTTTGGAATGACATGAGGGTGAGTAATAATGACAGAATTTGCATTTTTTCCCTTTAAGCACTAAGGCTTGCAGTGTGTAGCCTAGGATGTGCTGCTGCTGCTGCATACATAAATCCCGTAAAAGATGTAGACAGGCGGAGCTGGGGGAGGTAGAGGGTTTCAGAGAAACTCTACACTGCGCCGCAGGTCCAGCTTACAGTGAACACACTGAACCAGACTATTTAAATATTGAGCGAGCAAGCACAGTTGTGCCATGTAGCAAATGATGTGATTGCTATCAAACTGCATGTAATGGCACCATTTAGAGTTTCCAGATATTAATTCGATTCATATGAATGTGTCATTATAAGTGGACCCCAGTGGAAGATAATAATGATATGACTCCTTTAATAGGAGCATTCAAACTCACCATTGCAGACAAAAGCCTGACCACATTGATAGGATCTCCACATCCTGAAGCTGGGGCTCCACTGCGCTCCAGCAAAAACAGACATGCAGGAAGAATGCCCTTATCAAACTATAACACAAGGAAGGAGCAAATCTTTCATTTCATTTAATCTGGAGATTTGAAATCTGATTTTCTGCCATATGTTAAAGTTAAGAAAGAATCTATTTAGTTAGTCACTTTATCTTTTATTAAACACTAGATGTATATATGGATGGGTTGCTCTGACCTGGCCAAAATTCCACGGCCTGTCTCCGATCTGGCTGTCCGTTCCATAATAGATTATACCCATGTCATTTAAAACATACTCTTTCCTCTCTTCCTCATTATTCATGTGCACAGAGTCATCTAGGAGAGAAAGAGAAACTGGATGATTCAGCGTCTTGGAATGATTTCTTTAGAGTGTGATGAAAGGAAAGAACAATAAAAAAGGTGGTCCAAAAACAGGACAAAACAGGCCCTGAAACGTTTACTCCTACTTCTTTTTAATTGATTTCTTTTCCAAGGAATTATATATTTGTCTTAGTTATTCAATTGATGCACATTTACTTTATTTATTAGTCCAAATCATTTTTTTGTCCAAATAATGGATGTCACAATTTAAAAGACTGCTCACGTTTTTGTAATCATACGTTATGGAGTGAACAAGATGAGGGAGACAGCAAAATATTATGCTAGTGGTAATTATAATAAGTTAAATGAACTGAATATCAGTTTAATAGATTATGTAAACATTATAATATTAATGGATACAACTGCAAATGTCAAAGATACAGACACTTTTCATGTTAATTTCATTTAATGTTAGATAAAAGATATCTAATGTCTAACATATCTAATAGATTCACAGTTAACATGAGATTTGTGCTTGAATGTTTTTAACAACCGTCACAAGTCACTAAAGGGTACTGTGCATATGGAATGTGCCAGATAATATCACACTGCAACTATTTTTTTTTTATGTATGTCTTGTTGTCATTCTGTCTCTCACCCCACCCTTGTTTGTACCTTCACACCAGGGGTTGAACAGCATGTAGATGTCGTTGTCAGGACTGTCTGGGGACATGGCCTCGCCCGTTGGGGAAGATGTTGCAACACAGAACTTGTATTTGCCAACAGCAGCAGTTGGTGGAGAGTTGACAGAGAGTTTTATTCTTTTGCCTTTCTGCTCAACTATCTTGGCCTCCCAGCAGTCATCCTGCAGATCTTCAACCAAAGGAACAATCACATGTGTGCCTTTGGACACATCCGGGAGATTACCTGAAAAATGACAAATTCAAAATTAGGTAACATGACCATATCCATAGACATGATGTATACACTACCGTTCAAAAGTTTGCGGTAAGTACAATTTTTTAATGTTTTTGAAAGAAGTCTCTTATGCTCACAAAGGCTGCATTTATTTGATCAAAATTACAGTAAAAACTAAAAAAATTGTATTTTGAAATATTATTGTGATTTATAATAATTGTTTTCTGTTTTCTTTCTTAAGTCGCTGGGGTATATTTGTAGCAATAGCCAAAAATACATTGTAAGGGTCAAAATTATAGATATTTCTTTTATGTCAAAAGTCATTAGGATATTAAATAAAGATCATGTTCCATGAAGACATTTTGTAAATTTCCTACCGTAAATATATCAAAACTTAATTTTTGATTAGTAATATGCATCGCTAAGAACAAACTACACATCAATGGAAAGCTTATTTATTCAGCTTTCAGATGATGTATACATCTCAATTTCAAAAAATGGACCCTTATGACTGGTTTTGTGGTCCAGGGTCACATATGTTAAAGTGTCGTTTATTCCTGTGATGCAAAGCTGAATTTCCAGCATCATTACTCCAGTCTTCATTTCTTCTTATTATCAGTGATGAAAGTAGTTGTGTTGCTTAATATGTTTTTGTGAAAACAGTGATCATTTCTTTTCAGGATTCTTCGATTAATAAATAAAGTCAAAAGAAAAGCATTTATTAAAAATAGTTTTTTTTTGTGTTTTTTTTTAATGTAAAAGTCTTTACTTCCATTTTTAATAAATTTAATGTGTCCTTGCTGAACAAAAGCTTAAAAAAAATAAAAATAAAACTAACCCCAAAGATTTGAATGATAGTGCAAGTCGATCAATGAATTTTGAGTTTAAACAAGAAGAATGATTGCATGTTATTGTGCACATATACACAAACAACACACAGATTCAAGGGTAGCATGCTTAGGCTTCATGTTGGGCTGGTAGTAAGGTGGCGAAACTGACCGAGTTTCAGATCTAAATGAAGTTTATCTGTCTTTGAGTTGAAAGCCCGCGAGAGCTCAATCAGCATCTGGAAGGTCTGGCCTCTGCGGATGACGAGGTGTTCACTGTGATAGCGATCGGTGTGATGCTCCAGACGGTTCTGGTCTTTGCTGGATTTGAGAAGGTCTATGGAACGCACCTCCAGTTGAGTATCTGATAGAGAGAGAGAGAACGGGTTTTGATGTTATGGGTTTTATACTATATTGAGAATTCTGTCATCATTTGACCGTCTTACTTCTATAGAACACAAAAGGATGTTGTCCATACAATGTTATTTAAAATATCTTCCTTTGTGCTCCATGGTAAGTGAATGATGACAGAATGTTCATTATTAGGTAAATATCGAATATTTATTCAAGAGTTCTTTTTGGAGCCAAAACTCTCTCTGCCCAGTGCACTGCACGCCTGGTTAGGTTACCTGTGCCTGTCATCCCAATGCTGCCTCCATTATTCGTGGTATCTGTGGCGTCCTCATCGGTTTTTCTGCGGCAGCAGCAGCGCTGGCAGCACTGTCGAAACCATGTGCTACATGTCCACTTTGTGTCTGGCTTCTCTGGCTTCACCTTGTCTGGATCCTCCAGTGTAAGAGTACCGGACGGAAAGCGGCCAATGGCAGAGCGGTTTCTGATTGATAATGTTTCTACAGGCATTCTGGGAAATAAAACAGAAAACTGGGCATTTCTGAAGGTTTTAGACAAACCCACAATCTTAAATACTAATTTGTCTAAGACTGTTTCTATTTCTCTGTTCTTTTCCAATATTGTCCCTTCTGACTCGTTTAATTGTTTGTTGTATAACGTGACACTTCTGAGTAACATTTAAGTCTATTCTTATTTGAAATACACTTCAACAACTGTTTTGTTTTTTAACAGAGGAACATTTATTTTGGTGAGCATAGTGTAATAATAATGTACAGTCAGCTGGTTATAATTGCAAATTAAACCCAGATCAGTTGATTTCCTGGACACAGTTTCTACTTGCATAATAATTTGAGCTCAAAACAATATACATTCACATTAAGTCAATACACAGTTTAAAACGTTATAGTCATTAATTTTTTTTTTTTATAAATTATTTTATTCAGCAATGATTATTGATTAAATTAAACAAAAGTGACAGTAAAACGTTCATAACGTTACAAAAGATTAATATTTCAAATAAATGTTGTTCAAATGTTGCTCAACTTTATATTCATCAAAGAATCCTGAAAAAAAAACACAATTTTCACTAAAATAGTATTATTAATATTAAAAATGAACATGATCTTAAAATAGAAAAAAAGTGACTTTAAATTGTAATAACATTTCACAATAGTAACATTTTACTGTATTTTATTCTTACTGTATTTTTAATCAAATTAACACAGCCTTGTTTAGCATAAGTGACAGTTTACAGATACTCATATTCTGGATTAATTCCCCATAAAAAAAACTATTTACAAAAATTGACACTGCTAACTAGTTTCCAGCAAAATACCATTGTAGTGCCAATGCAAACACAGTATAATGATCTTATGATGGAAACTAACCATGTTATATTTCACGTTTCTGAAGTTCTGTCTGGTTTTAAACAGGAATCTTTTCAGTTGATTTACTATAATGATAAAGAGTTTTTCTTACTTGTTTGCATTCCTTAGCCGTTTGTAGAAGTGTCAGTCTTGTTTATGCCCGTCTCCACGCTAAAAAAAAAATACCTGTAGACTGAGAGTGAGTGATTGAGCGGAGATCAGTGCGACTCATTCAGCGTTTAATTTAGCATTGAACTGAAGTTTCTAGCTTTTAGCATTATATGTAGGGGTAGGGCTTCCAGCTGTGATGATTGCATGAGAACTGGTTTAACAGGATGACTTCTTAAAGGACGTTTAGCACTCTGATATTTCATGCATGCAGTGGAGCTGTAATCCAATGGTAAATGTGAATGGAAGATGACACACAGATTAGCCTGGACAACCAACATACCTTTTCTCTGAGAAGGCAAGAGTGGACTATTTTAATAAAAATTTAATTACAAATAATAAATATAAAACTGAATGTATGAACCATTCATTTTCATAATAATGCACCAACATCAATGGATGTGTTCTCATGTGTGCTAATGAGTGAACTTGCATATGAACAAACTCATGAAGACCAAACACAAGTCACTATAACAACCACACGTGAGCATGATTACTTATGATATCATTTCTCCAACACCCGTTTAGTGAAAGTTCGTATATCTGGTTTTCGGTGGTGTTTGGGCAGGGCACGGGACGGGACGGGACGGTAACAGAGAGTATCAGCCTAAACAAAACATTTAATCACAGCTTCATCACACCGTTGGCAGCAGAGTGTGTCACAATCACAGAGTAATCAGTTAAATCGCATCTTTGTCAACACAAAAGTGCATTCTGTGTGAAAGGCACCTAGCGACACATATTCTACTGTACACACATGCCATCTGTTTACATTCATTCATTACAATTCAACTGATGAAACATTTTTAATGTATACATATTTTTTAAAGATGGAAATCAATGAACTATTATTCAATGAGACTGTATTTAGAAGAATATGCAAATGTGATTTTTATATAAGTTTGCCTTAATTTTGCAAATTAATAGTCCTGCTGAAAAAGAAACATCATAGTGAGGGACAGGCCAAAAACCTTACCCTTATCAGCATAAATGCTATTTAAATTATTTAAGCAATGCTTTTGTCCCCTGATTTCATGTCAGCCCTGTTACCCTGATCAAAAAGCCCTGGTAAATTAATGTACATTCAAATGACATCACTTCTAGGAGGTTACATCATATCATAGCTATCGATTAGCAAATTAGTTTGAAATCGTCAAACCTGTTACTGTCAACCTGTTACTTTAGAGTAACAGGTTTTGACGTGGGTAACAGGGATGACATAGATTAGGTGTCACCTTGTTTTTAAAGATTGTCTGTGTAAAATTCAAACATTTTAAAGGTCACCCTGGCTGTATTATTGAGCTAAGAAAGTCAAACCAAATTTCTTCAACAAGATCTTGGTCTGGTTTCAGATGATCTGATCATCTTCCTTGCCTAATAATTGAACCAGATCAGTATATTTGAAGTTCTGAGGGGACACAGACAAACAGATGGACTCATTATCTAATTACAATACCCTTGAGACATTAGATCTCTTAGAAATGTAATGTGCTAAATCAACAATGAACTGACTTAAACTGAAAAACTGACTGTTTACGATTGTCATACAACTATGTAAAGTAAGTGCAAAACAATATAATGCAATCTGAAATGGTAAAACTTTCCAGTAATGTAAACAAATATGTGCAGTGTGCTGAAGAATGTGTGTCCTGTCATCCCTGTTACTCTGTCAATCCTGCTTCTGTCATCAATTTCTTAAAAATTGTGAAAATGATATTTGATACAGCCTTCCAGGTTTTTCCATTGTAACTTTAACTATATGTTATTTTGGACAAAGCCCCTTTTTTTACATAATATATAGAATCCCAGTGAAAAGAGGGACTAAATGGCTGCTCATATAGGTGAACACTATCACATAGTTCTAATTAAACTATAGTATATAGTAACGCTTGTGTCGGTAACAGGGTTGACAAAAATACCAAAACATGAGGAAGAAAAACAGTCATAAAATAATAAATTACATAGTCTGAGATGGCACAATATAATATCTTGTCATTTTAAGGTGTCTTCATTTTATGGATATTTAAAAAATGGTGATTAAACATTTTATTTTTCAATTTTTCCGAGTGGAAAAGGCACCGATTTCGTGGAATGACCTCTCCACATATATTCTAAGCGTTGGCAATATTGTATTTTTTACAGTCATGCCAATAAAGCAATTTTTGAATTTGATAGACAGACAGATAGACAGACAGACAGACAGAGACAGATAGATAGATAGACGGACGGACAGACAGACAGACATATAGATAGATAGATAGATAGATTGACAGATAGATAGACAGACAGACAGACAGAGACAGATAGATAGACGGACGGACGGACAGACATATAGATAGATAGATAGATAGACAGTCAGACAGACAGACATATAGATAGACAGACAGAGACAGATAAATAGATAGACATAGACAGACAGACAGATAGATAGATAGACAAACAGTCAGACAGACATATAGAGAGACAGACAGACAGACAAACAGACAGATAGATAGAGAGACAGACAGATAGATAGATTGACAGACAGAGACAGATAGATAGAGAGACAGACAGATAGATAGATTGACAGACAGAGACAGACAGATAGATAGATTGACAGACAGACAGACAGAGACAGATAGATAGATAGATAGATAGACAAACAGAGACAGATAGATAGACAGATAGATAGATAGACAGACAGAGACAGATAGATAGACAGATAGATAGATAGACAGATAGACAAACAGACAGACAGATAGATAGATAGATTGACAAACAGACAGACAGAGACAGACAGACAGATAGATAGATAGATCCATTAGTCAGCAGCTGTTAACATTTTACAACCTCAACCTCACCTCATTCATTTGAATTATAGTCTTTAGTAAGCAGAAAATGCAACACAATATGAAATGAAAACCTTCACTGTAATTACTGCTCAAAGACAGATAGATAGACAGACAGAGACAGATAGATAGACAGATAGATAGATAGACAGATAGACAAACAGACAGACAGAGAGACAGATAGATAGATAGATTGACAAACAGACAGACAGAGACAGACAGACAGATAGATAGATAGATCCATTAGTCAGCAGCTGTTAACATTTTACAACCTCAACCTCACCTCATTCATTTGAATTATAGTCTTTAGTAAGCAGAAAATGCAACACAATATGAAATGAAAACCTTCACTGTAATTACTGCTCAACAAACATAACTGCTTTATAATGCTGCTTTAAAATAATTGCTAAACATCTATGCATTAAATGTAATTTGCCTTTTGTAGTCATAAACACCACAACTATCATTTTCTTCAAATGCGAACACTTACGCTTACAATGGACAGACACATCCGTCTACATAAACAATTAAAAGCAGCAGAGTGGAACACAAAAACACTTTCTGTAAGAAACAGCCCTAAAACTAGACTATGTGGCTATGCTTCTTGCCTCCATCTACTCCTGCTTACTTGCTATTATTCAGATTATTGTGAGCTATAGCCTGTCTTTTCAAGATATCATCTTTTTTTAATTTCTAAGTTATAAATAATGGTATATCTACTTTTTACTTTTGAACTTAGATTATATGTATATCTATATATACAGTTGTGCTCATAAGTGTACATACCCCTTGCAGAATATGTAAATATGTTAATAATTTTAACAAAAAATAACATGCAATTGTCATGAGCCCTCTTATTTTATTTAGGACTGCCCTGAATAAGCTATTTCACATAATAGATGTTAATATATATACTCCACAAGACAAAATAATAACTGAATTGACCCCCTTCAAAAGTTGAATCTTAATACCGTGTGTCATTTCCTGGATGATCCACGACTGTTTCTCTGTTTTGTGATAGTTGTTTATGAGTCCTGCGTTGGTCCTGAGCAGTTCAACTGCCTGCTGTTCTTCAGAAAAATCCCCCAGCTCCTGCACATTCTTTGGTTTTCCAGCATCTTCTGCATATTTGAACCTTTTCCAAAAGTGACTGTATGATTTTTTGAGATCCATCTTTTCTTCTTTAACCTCTGAAGGGCAGCACTAAAAAAAAAAGAAAGAAGATATTTAGGCAAAATAAGGAAAATGTACACATCTCCACTCTGTTCAAAAGTTTCCCCCCCCCCCCCCCCCCTTAAA